GCGTCGCAGCGTCGCTCTTCTGCCCGAGCGAGGGGAGGAACGGGGAGGGGGGGGGGAGGAGGCGTGCATGCTGCGGGCGGGAGTGCGCGGCAGGTGGGGCAGCAGGTGTGAAGACTGCAGCCCTCTCAGGGCCAACGGGGAGCAGCTCTAACGACCTCCTTGACCTCTGGGGCAGCGCCCCTGGTCCGGGCGCCTCCGCGGCGCACCTCGGGGTTGCTCAGTTGTCTCTCGATGCGCCCGTTTTGAAACGCAACACGTCCCGTGTTCAAGACGTCCGTGTCAACACGTTGCGTGTTGGCTCCGCATTGTGGCCCACGTTTTGGCGAACGTACTGCGTCGGACCTACGTTTTCAGTCCACGTGTTGAGCTCCGTAGCAACACGCTACGTGTTGCGTGTTGCGTATCGGGGCAGCTGAGCGGGGCTGTGATCCCACGAACAGGGGGCCTCTTCGGGCCACGAGGGGACAACCCTAAGAGGGAGCAAGCCCTGACTAGGGGCCCTCGGAGCCTGGGGCGAGGGGCTCCGAGTGGGGGCCTCTCAGGGCCAGGAGGGAACGGCCTTAAGGACCCCCCCCCCGGTCCCACGACTGGGGGCCTCTTAGGGCCAAGAGGAACCCTCACGACCCCTGCTGACCTGCGGGGCAGCGCCCCTGGTATGGGCGCCTCCGCGGCGCACCTCCTCAGCATCATAGGGGCCCTCGGAGGCCTGGGGCGGGGGGCCCTCGGAGGCCTGGGGATGATGATGACGATGCTGATGATGCTGATGATGATGCTGATGATGATGCTGATGATGATGCTGCTGCTGCTGCGCTGCTGCTGCTGATGATGCTGCTGCTGATGATGCTGATGCTGATGCTGATGCTGATGCTGATGCTGATGCTGATGCTGATGATGCTGATGATGATGCTGACGATGATGTTGATGATGATGCTGCTGCTGATGATGATGCTGCTGCTGCTGATGATGATGATGATGATGATGATGACGATGGCGGTGACGATGATGATGATGACGATGATGATGCTGATGATGATGATGCTGATGATGATGATGCTGATGAAGTTGATGATGCTGATGATGAAGTTGATGATGCTGATGCTGATGCTGATGCTGATGCTGCTGCTGATGATGATGGTGATGGTGACGATGATGATGATGATGATGATGATGATGATGATGATGATGATGATGATGATGATGATGATGATGATGATGATGATGCTGATGATGATGATGATGATGATGATGATGATGATGATGATGATGATGATGATGATGATGATTTTGATGATGACTATGGTGATGACGATGAGGAGGAGGAGGAGGAGGAGGGCTCCTGGACGCAGCGGGTCCGCCAACTCTTGCACCGCTGGGGCCTGCCGGACCCGCCGGGGCCGCAAGCGGGGGTGGGGGCCCGTGCCCTGTACCGCGACCTCGTCAGGCAGGCGGCGCTGCGCCAGGAACAGTCCTGGCTGGCGAGCCCCGCGCAGCAGGGAGCACTCGCGCGCGGGGCGGGCGCGGGCCACACGGCGCTCGATCACAGCGCGGCTGGCGCCTCGCTCCCTGAGGTGCGCGCGTGGGCCCGCCTGTGCCTGCAGGGCTCGTTCGCATGCGACGCGGCGGGGGGCGCCGGGCCCTGACGCCTCTGCGGCGAGTCGCAGGAGACGGCAGCCCACCTGCTCTGCTTCTGCGGGCGGGCGGCGCAGGTCCTCGGACGGCCGGCCCAGCCGTGGCCGCGCGCCCCTGCAGCCCGCGGGCGGCCGCTCGCCCCGGCCGCGGGCCTGTCGCCGCGGGAGGCGCGCCGCCTCGAGGCTGCGCTGCAGGAGGCGCAGCAGTAATTACGTCCAGCCGGAGCGGGCAGGTGCAGAGTCCCCAGGCCCAGACTCCCCGCCCCCTGCCCGGTCCCGTTGCCCCTGGCCCGAGTCTCTTGGGGCTTCGCCGTGGCTTCCGTGGGGCCGCCTCGCCCCCGCTGGCGGGCCGCCTGGCAGGGGCACCCTGAGCGCCGCTTAGGGTACGCCTGACCCGGGCGGGCCGCGGCCCCTTTGGCCGCCTTGCGGCCCCTGACCTGGGCCCCTGTCCCTGGGCCCCGTCCCGCCTTCGAGGCCGACTTCAAAAGCGACCTAACGCTGGTGTGGTCACTTTTGGATTCGGCTTGCACTGAGCCCGCCTGGCCCCGCTCTGCCCTCCCTTGCCCGGCTTCGGCCTCGGCCCCCGGCCGCCCTGGCCCCGTCTTGTCTTTCCTGGCCCGGCCCCCGCCTTCGCCCCCGGGGCGCCCCGGCCCGGCCCCGCCCCCTCGCCCCGGGCCCGCTGCGCCGCCCTGCGCCTCTCCGCTCTGGGCCGAGTGCCCGCCGTGCAGCAAGCTGCTCACCACAACGGGGCTGCCGGGGGCAGCCCTCGCGCGGCACTCAGCCAGCTACGTGCTGGGGGGGCCGCCCGAGGGACCCCTCCCCGAGGAAATGGAGGGCGGGCGCCCCCCGCATAGCGTCGGGCGTCACCCTCC